CGCAAAACAACTTTCCTGCCGAGCGAAACACACAACTTTTCATTTCAACTATAGTGTGGGAAATGGTAGATGAAAAAAATACAGTTGAACTATAAAACGTCACTTTTTTTTAATTAAAAGAAAAAATATCTTCGAATGCTTTCCGAATTTACACCTCATCAATTTTTATTTTTGCTTGTACTTTTATTTTGTGTGATTAAGTGATTATTGAAATTATTATAGTTATTCGACGAATTAAAATAATTTAATAAACACATCTAGTTATTATTGTCAATTTAATGTCTACAATAATAAGAATAAAATATACCAACGGATTTATATTACATAAATAAGTAATGTAGGTACGATAAATCGCGTAGTTGAACGTGTCACTATATTTTTTATTTCATCGAAAGAAAAAGTTAGGTGTTTCAAAGACCATCGTCAAGTTCGAATTTCAAAAACCTTGTCCACGCTAGCGTGCAAAAAACGCTTCTAAGCGCAGATTTCCAACGAGAAGAAAGTCTTTACGAGCTAGTGAGGTGAAAAATATATTTTTGCAAAACCATGAGTGATCTGTGCTCTTTCGAGCTTGAGCTTGATGAGCTTTTTGCTTCTAAAAAATGTGAATTACGTTTATATAAAACTGAAACTAAAAAAATTATAAAATATGAAACAACCGATCAGAGGGTATTTAGATCTCGTTTTTCAATTTCGCTAAAATGTCGATATCGTTACTTATGATAAGGAGTTGCTAAATATTGACAATAAATCTCGCTATACAACATCGAATTGATTTATGTGTACTGCAATATAATATAGATTCTGCTAACCCTTTATGAATTAAGTAGGTATTGATAGAGAAGGGTTAATTAGAAATTGAGCCACGGCATTGAGTAAATTGGTGTTTGAATAATACGATACCACTCACTAATTAATTAATATAGAGTTTATAGAAGCAATAGGAGCATGTAAAGATTACTTATATATATTAATACAGTGTATATTAAGGGCGATAAACAAGAAATTATTAAACGAGAGTTTGTTAGAGGCCCGAAGGCGAAGGCTGAGGGCTTTAATGACTCGAGGTTTGTAATTTTTATCGCCAAACATAAACATACAATGTTTTTCATCACATTTGCGAGGAAATAGATATAACTATAATTTGTTTCTTGTATGAATAAATATCGCTTCAATACCACAACATTTACGGATTTTGCAAATGCCGAGTTTGTTTTTTTTTTTACAGATTGCCAGCTATTCTTCCATATATAATACAACTCGAATAAAAATGCCACGCTGTATTAGATAAACAATGAATAATTTCCAAATTCAAAAAAATACTGCAGAATTTCAATTCACATAATAAATTTAGTAAAATATACGTAGTTAAATTGCAAATGTTTAGTTTTTTTTTCTATACTTGGAGCTTATGCGAAGTACATTCAGATTTTTTGAGCATAAAACCTCTTTTCTTAATCTCTAAGAGAAGTACTTACGGTAATGTAATGAAAAAGCCCGTGAAGATAATTTAGGATATTACGGTCGACTTTGCTTGCATGTCATGACACTTTTTACGAGCAAGTGTGGTGAAAATTTTATTAGCATCTGACTTCATCTATTGTGATGCTGGTTACCTGTACATATAATGTTTTAATATTGCTTTTCTTGCATAATTCGTTATGGTGATGGCAAATCTTTATTTCAGAATTTATCTGCTGTGTTCGCTCAAAAATGTATATTTTTCATATTTGTTAAATAACCACTTAGAATAATAACGCATAGAAACCTAGTTCGCACACGCTAAGTGAGGCAAATGAAGCGCGCCCAATGGGCCTACACGAGCGGGCGGGCCGTCAGTGCTCAAGGTCAACCTGCACCGCGAACAGCTCCAGAATTTTAGCTAAAAGTGACTAAATGTGCTGTAAATGAGTGTAAAAATACGTCAGACAAACATAAAATAGATACTAATATCACATTCCACAGTGAAGTAACGCGTTTCAACTTGTATTTTTATATAAATATTCACTAAAACCGAAAATTAACCTACTACTAAATCTAGCCTACATGAATTTGATTTTTGCCTCACTTGTGACAGTTCGTTTGATAAGAAACTATCATTCTATGCGTTATTATTCTAAGAATAACCATTTAACGATAATTCCTGGTTATTCAGTGTGATTTTTTTTTTTATTACGATACAAATTTAAATCGCAATAGCAATTTATAGCAGTACCATAGAGAGAAGAATAGTGTCAGTGAAATGTCAGTGATCGATGTTGCCTTACTAAATGGTGGTGGTGAAATTACAGGCTATTGGGACTTGTTAACTCATGTCTCTGGGTGACGAGCGCAGTGGCACTGCAACTGTTATAGGAGACGCACGACTTGTTCGTCCCGTCACTAGATGTTACATAAAAAAAAATTACTAAAACTACCACGAAAAAGATTATGTATCTTAATTTTTATCTCATTTAAGCAGCCATTTTGTTTTCAATTTAAATGTATTTTTTTATATCAAACTATTAGTAGACTGCGTCATCGACGTGCCAGAGACTCGCCAAAGAACAGAATATCAAAAAGTTGCAATGGCAGTTGAATAGTAACTCTATGGGTAGTCACTGACAAGCCACTACACTTAATGGGCTCTCATGCCAAAAAAGTTTTGACGGTTTTTTGGCTCCGCCCAAATTTGTGAAACAAATATATGCCTGAAGTTCGCGTGACATGCGACAGAGATGTTGAATTTTGCGCAATAAAAGTACCAAATTCGTTTTAGCGGAATAACTCTAAAACTAAAGGGATTAAAAAAATCCGTAGTGACAGTTGTCGATCATGCATAAATATAATTAATTATCTAATTTTTGTCTTAATAACCTGTAGCATTTCGAGGATAAATCGAAAAAATGTGAAAATTAGAGGTCTTTTCGTGATTTTTATCTATCGAGGAAACTTTATTCTTTTATGTTTCTGATTAATGTCTATGCTTAAATATATCGTGTAGTTACTCTACAATATTTTATTTTTAACTTTAAAGCGGATATACCCCTCTAAATCAAATCGAAGATTAGGAATTTTTCCTCTACCCCCTCTTAACATTCAACAGAATATCAATCGTACAAAATCCAGCCATTTATACACAACTGAGATGATTTAAAATAAGCAGACTTGGGGTCTGGGTCTACTGTAAAAAATAATTGAATAATGTACTCAAATTGACAAGCCTTGAAAAATGGCTACGATAATTCTTCGGACGCGAAAATATAAAGTACTTTAGAGATTTACGCATTGTGTCCTCGACAGAGTTTTAGGGCCGAATTTATTTATCATAATAAAATAATAATTACTTACTTAGCAAGCTCAGCGACCTTAAGTGGATCTTTCGCTCCGACACCAAAGTAAATTTATTTTGGTCTTGTGCCAATTCCGACCATTCGGGGAATAAAGTATGTTCGTTTATTTGTAGGAAAACAAATGAACAATTACGTTCTATACAATAAGTGGCAATTTTAAAATGTTTTCTTATTCTATAAGGGAGGCAACCACACTTATTCTCTGATGACTTGGAATTGCATTTTTTTTATAATATCAAGATGCCTTAACTCGAATGCGTAGTAATTCGTTGTGTATGTTGTGCTCCCATCTTAATACCTATGAATAATTTTGTTTCAATAATTATTTAAAACCTAACACTAATGTACTTTTCTTGACTAACAAATATTATGGATGAGTGTATATCCGCTCACGCGATAGACGCATACCACACCTAGAGGTGCCGGTGATGATTTTACACCGATTTATCCGGATATTGAAGTTATAACAGGTAAAAGAACTAATATTAATTGCTATTTCGGTAACTACTCTAGCAAACCATAAGGTATTTAATACCTGGGTCTGTCATTTAAAAAAAATAAACAACTTCGGTGTTTATTTATTGAAAACATACCGTAAGTAGCGGTTTTTAAGTTTACCCTGAATATAAATGTTTATAAACTATACTTTAAGGAGTAATTTCATGGTAAATGTTAGAACCACTCAAACGGAATATTATCATACTTATCCAAGTACACCAAAAATTTCATTAGTGCTTTTTAAGTGCAGGATTTGCGGTGTATTACTGCATTTTATTTGAGATGTTTTTGTTGGTAGTATGAAGGGTATTTATTTAGCAATGCAGAATAATAATTTTTATTTATAAAAACTTGTATTTAAACTGAATCCTTTTCTAATTTGCGAAACCAAATAGCCGCCATTTTGCGGTAGGAGGAGCGCATCGCGTGAGCGGGTATCTGAAATAAATGGTTTGTTATTATTATTATTGATAAGAGGTGTTCTAAGCGGAAGCGAAACCCGCAACTTGTTTTTCGCTTTCTTTCGCGTGGATACGAGTGTTGGTTTATGAAACGAGCCGACAGGCGGTTTCCAAAAAATATCACACGAGTATTTTAATGCCTAATTATGTATAGTTACATACACTCCTTTATCTATACACATATTATAAGCTCTATAAGATGTGTTCAGGAACTGCTTGTTACGACTGGCGAAATGGCGGCAAATAAAAACTTCTCACGCATGTCACGCAACCCTAATTTTTTTAAATTCATAGACATATTAGAGTCGGCCCCAACTATCATATCGTTCGATATCAAGTAACGTGTGAAATTTGTCAAAATTATTAGCTAATGACATTTCATTTCGAATAAAACTTCATCTCGACTGATATTAGAATTGAGGTCGAATCAAATTGTTTTCTTTTTCACAATGTTCGAAATTGATGTTAATATTAAGCAATAATCATATTTTCACAGACAAGAAATTTGTTCTAACAAAATAATCTTTATGCTGGTCGTAATTTGCGGTTTTTGAACACAATATCAGAGGGTTTATGATTAGTGTGCAGATAAAAGTGTTTGTGACCGGCTCAAGCCGATTCCACGTTAATAGGTGTGATGATTATCTAAGCAGTAATGAAAGCAAAATACGTAGTATATTAATTGATTAAATAATAATTTTTGTTCTAGTCGTGGTTTTATGCGCTAATCCGAGCACTGTAAGAAACATAATGCTGGCCGCCGATGAACTCAATATGGTGTCATCGGGAGAATACGTCTTCTTCAACATAGAGCTGTTTTCCAAGTAAGTAAACAATTTTGTGAAAACCCTTTTACGTAACACCATTACTGTTACTTTCACAACGCTTTGTTTATTTAGTTATTAGCTTTTCGCGATTGTTACACATTGTAAGTGATTTTTTTTGCGTGTGTATGTTTTTTAAACGAACCGATGTTTCGGGCCCTTTATAGGTACCCATAGTCACAACTGACTGAGATGGTAAAAACGTGTAAAGCGTACGTAGATTGCGAACTTGGCATGTGTAAATCTACTCATTCAATTAAGTTCGACAAATCAATGGTCCTTGTAAAATAATTGCGTGAGGCCATTAAAATTTTAAAAAATCCTAATTGGAACAGAGAAGATGGTTTCTCCGTACCAGCTTTGGATCTAATATTTCTTCTGATAAATTTAATGAAGTAAATAATTCGTTTTTACTAAAATATTTAGCAAAACGTGAATAGTGTAAATTGGAATTCTCTTTGGTAATGTAAATATAAGGTGTTATTAAGGTACAATATTTATTTACATAAATAAATGAATAACTTTTGTAACTACTTCGAAAAACAGAGTGGTTTGCGTTAATATTAACAGGTTAATGACTTTACCATCTCAGTCAGTTGTGACCATGGGACCTGTACAGGGCCCGAAATTTTGGTTTCTCTAAAAAAAAAGAAACAAATATACGCGATTTAGATTCAGAAAAAAACAATTTTTAATGTTTTTAACCGACTTCAAACACAGGATGCGGTTATCAATTCGACTATATCGCACCCTTAGTAATATAAGGGCACAATCCAAAAATAGTAGATTTTTGGGAAATCGCGTATTAAGATTCTGGATTCCTACATTACACCTATTTTTTCAAATAACATGCTTATTATTTAAGTTATAAATATGAAATTTGGCAGATTTGTTCTTTGATAAATGTATTATAAATAGCAATAAAAAAAATAAATAATATAAATAAATTCCATAAGTTTCAAGCAAGTTAAAAAACACTTTCAAGTTAGACCCATATAGTACAAAAAATATAACAGAAATATGGAGTTATTTAAGTTTGATCCCATTTATTATTTAAGTCCCTATCAATTCCCAAATTTCCCAAAAATCTACTTTTTTTGGATTGTGCCCTTATATTACTAAGGGTGCGATATTTCCTTTTTGTATTTATTACTCCGACATTTGGGAACCGAGTTCGATGATTCTTTTTTGTTGGAAAGAGGGTACCTCAGTAGTAGTTTAAGTCATATTAGAAGTAAATATTCCACCTCTAAGGGTGGAACATTAGGGGATGAATCCGGTTTATTGGAATTCACCCATTTCCTGTTAACCGATTTTAATAATACTTGACAGATATAATCGACGCCTTACTTTCTCATCCTCGTATCTTTGAAAAGAGTGATTTTTCAGGAGATGGCAAAATTTTCTATTTATTTTAAATTTCTTATCAATTTCAATGCATTACTGTCAGAATAGGTAAAAGCCAGTGATATGAAGGTATACAATTAAATTTTTCATTGACTTACAATTATATGGACGTCGGGTCCGCGCTAAAAAGTGTCCGAACTTATAGGGCGTTAAAATCGTATACAGAGCGTCATTCACTGACAGCGAAGCAAGCAAAATTAGACAGTACTGCGATGACATTACAATTTAAATTCAACGTTTTAGCTTTTTCATATTCATTTACATGTCACTACGTTTAAATAGGTTGACTTGGGACATTTTTTTCGTGGTTTTTGTATTAGACCCGTCGTCCATTTATTTGTAAGTCAATGAATTTTTTGCATTGCAGTAACTTTGTGCTTTAAGATACGAGTTTGAGGAAGTAATGCGAATTATCACTTTTGAGGTCGTTTTTTTTTATAGAAAGGTTTTATTAAACTTGAATTTTAAAAAGTATAATCCAGTACAAAATTTTATCCAAAAAATTAATAGACTGTCTGAGAAACCCAAGGGTTCGCAGCTGCCTTGTTGGGCATTAGCATAGCGATGCAAAGGGGGAACGCTGCCAGCATCTTGAGCACCTTTTTACCCAATTTTATTCATAAAATTCAATCCTAGTTTTACTTTCTAGTATTTATTGAACCCTATCTGTTTATTTTAACTTACAATTTACTAAATAATCCTGTTCATATTATTAGTGATAAAAAGATATGTACTTGTTACGTCGGCCAGGTTTGCTGACTGCAAATGGAGCTAAGTCGCTAAGCATGAAATTGAATTATTCTGATCCGCATTGACTATAATGGGCTTCAACGAGGCAAAAATAGATGCAGGTAAATAATGAATTTATTGCTTGACAGTCTCGCATCGGCGTCCTCCAAAGAACCATGGAAGTTGGAGGGTGACAGTGATGAACGAAATGAGAGGGCCAGACACGCTTACAGCGCCGTTCTTACCGTAACGAGTCCAGCTCCTGAGAAACCAGAATACCTAAAGTTTTCCGACCAGGTAAAGTTAAATTACTGCCTACACTTGTACAAAGTATAAACAAAACCTATTTATAATATGACAAATACACACGCCGACACATTTAGGGGAACACGAGTGAACTCCTCAAAATAATGCTGGGTTTTGTCAAAACAGTGGTGCTTTATCGTACTATTTGTTTTAGGTCTAATTTGAAAATTTACATAACAGTTCAGTGCCATTTTTTCATTCATTTGTTATAATTGATTACTACATGATTGCCAAATGGTTCGAGTTGTATTTTTGTAAATATCGTAAACATTAGTTGAAATAGTTTTTTTATTTATTATTTTAGTTTCATCAATTTATTAATATTAAATTTATTATAAGGTTGCTGGTGAAATTACAGGCACATGAGACTTGTCAACTTATGTCTCAGGGTGACGGGCGCAGTAGCAGTGCCCCTCAGATCTTTGCGATTTAAAACTCTGAGTGGCACTGCAACTGTTATGGACAGGCGTGTAGCTTACCGTCAAGTATACACGACTCGTTCGTCCTGTCACTTGACATAATAAAAAAATAATATTTAAAATTTCAGATGTTTCTGCTTTGTCACAAAATCTAAAAAAAATGCATTTTGTCTAATTTATATTTTTTTAAATAATGGTGGTGACCACAGTACTGAGTCGATGTTAATTAAATTACTACTTTATACACAACAATACATATTGTTATTACATAATCTCACTTTGTTTTTGTTCTGTTAAAATGTGCCGGTGTGTGTACAAAATGACTGACATCAGTTAAAAGGCATTCTAATTTCACGTACTTCAAGTTTATTGTGTCCTCGACATGTTTACATTATATTTACGTAGCCGACACCCGAAAACTCTAACAAACTGCGTGATAAAGTTGATTTTATGAGGGGTAGATAGCAGTTTCCTCGCTTAGGCCAGACAGTAACTTTCGGTGAAATGACTGATTAAGACCGACGCCACACGATGTGTTACGTTGGCGTTGCGACGTCTGAGCTGTGACGTTGCCTTGTACTGCGTATAAATTGGAACTATATGTCACATGGTGCACGGAAACGGCGCGAGACGACATCATGCGTTGCGACGAGACGCATCGCACCAGCAGCGTCCGTGTGGCATCGCTCTAAGCACAGTTTCGTAGGATATGCTTATGAGCTTGGGTGATGCTAAACACTCCAAAAGACTTGCGAGTAATTTTTTTTTTAATTGTCTCCTAACGCACCCCGATATGGAAGCTGACGAAACTTAAACAATGTTTAAGCTTAACAACAAACAATGTCAAAGCTTCCTTATCGGCCGATAGACTAAACGGAGCATAGGCAATCTGGCAATAATCAGAAAAAAATCCAAAATGGAGTTGGAAAAAATGTTCGTATAGGTAACAAAAACGGTAATTTAATTAATATTTTTGTGAAATAATAATTATTTGTAAATTAAATCAGTAAATAAAATCTGAAAATTGTAATATTTTAAATCTGTTATCCAAACACCAAACGCACCGTGAGACGTCATACATAAGTAAGGAAACGTCTCCGTACTCACCATTGGCGTATTATCTTGTTTTCTTTCACCGTTAATTCTTCTTTTTATTTAGAAACTGTAAAAAGGTTGGATTGAGGTCAGTAGTCAATCAATATACGTAAAATTCTCGCAAGTGGCAAGTGCACGACGCCTGTTTGTTCACCTACAAATGACATAATGTCACGCATTCTGAGATGACGTACAGTGCCGTCCGTGCGGCAATAAAACAAACTTTATTTACTTAAAATAATATCTTTTCGATTCAATTAATTTCTTCATTCATTCATTCATTATTAGGGTCCACTGAAAATCAGCGTCACATTCTTTACTCAGCTGTGACGTTAGCTAAGTGAATCCTTTTACATACGCCACAGCCGCACACATGACTTATATTCAGTCACTGTTTAAAATTGGATTATGTATACTTCGTTGTTTTTTTTATTATTTTATTTTTTGTTTTGTCTTTTTTATTTCTACTTTTGTGTTGTGCCGCTGTAATAAATGAATTCTATTCTATTCTAATACAGGTACATAGTTTAGTTGGTAATAATAATTTATGGAATCTCAGCAATAAACCAAAATGTCATATGAAGTCAATTAAATAAAAAAATGCAATGTCAAACAAAAAAGAACAATACAGTACGTACTGTCCTACTGTCAGCATTTAACTTTTTGATAGAACTGTCATTTCAATATTCTTCTATGCTGTAATAACACTCTAATCAATTGATGGCTCTGTGTTAATAAAAAATATAAAAAAATAAAATAGGCATTATTTGACAAGCATAAATTTCAAACAAAATAACAAAAAAAATAAAAATAAATTCATTTAAAAAAAATAAAAAGTAAAAAAAAAGCATAAAAATAAAATAAAAGCGTATCAAAAGGGTCCATGACTCAGCCTCTGAGGACCATGCCCATCATAATATGGAACACCACAATTCAAATAAAATATAATGTTACATGTTACGTACAAAACAAAAATCAAAATTAAAATAACTGTAAACGTTTAGGCACTAACTAAAATTTGACATAAGCAACAGTTGGACGAAGTAAGTAGTCAATTTGAATAATAATTAAGTCATTTAAAATGCATAATACCAAACACACATAACAGATATACAAACATAAGCTACGTCTTAAAGCCCGTGTCCCGGGATTGCTTTTCAAACAGCCACAGAATATATGCTTATTGAATCGCATTCCATTAAGATTTTTTATTATATCTTGCATTTTATTGAATATTTTAGGTTGTCTTTTATGACACTAAGTGACGGAACAATCAAGTCATGCGCCTGGTGGTAAACGTCACGCCTGTCCTTAGCAGTGCAGTGTCACTGAGAGCTTTAAATCGCAAAGATCTGGCCACTGCCACTGCGTCCGTCATTCTGAGATATAAGTTGACAAGTGCCTGTAATTTACCACTATCTCTCATAACCGGAACGGCAGTAATGCCCGTATTACTGCTTGGTGGAAGAATTAGGTAAGGTACTTCCCTGGACGAATTATTTTTTATCGACGTACATAGCTCTCTGCTGCTAGAACTATCGACGTGTTAATGAATTTAAACTAACCAGTGGAAACGGAACCTTATAACATCAACAACATTTCGTCAATAGGAGTAACAATGGTGAAAGTAAATATTGATTAATTTGCATTAATTATACATTATATTAATTTTCATTAATGATAGTAATACATATTTAAAGTATATTCAATCAAAAATATTGTCTAGATGAACCATTTAATTCCTTAATAGGATCCTACTTCACTTGAACATTTAACAACTATCATTCTTATGCAGTTACTATTCAGAAATAATGATATGTGAAATTATGTTTCTTATGATTGTTAAATTAAATTAAAATAATTATCTCTAAAAAGGAAGGATTATACGAGCGCCCTCGCGAGGTCCGCTATATTTGGCCCGAGTATAATAATGATGTGGTTATCGTAGGATTAAGAAAAAATATGAAATATACAGTAAATGTCTTTATTGTGGTACCAATGTTAACGCAGCAAAATGTCGAGATGAAGATAGTAATCGACAGCGTAAGAGGGTAGACAGATATTTATGTCTGTCCCAAAAGTGTTCAAGTACCGCATGCCCGTCCACGTATGAAAATGAAACGTAAAACCGTTGTGACATATCGGTATAAAAATAATCGTATTTTCTTCTCAAACCTTTAACTAGCAATAAGCATTTATAAAGGTTGACCACGAAATACGAAATACGAAGCAACGATCATCGTTTTAGCTTCGTATCGGATCGAGATTTGACATAAGTCCTTACTCCGAAACATCAAATGATAGCTTTCGCATCGAATTTTTATTAGCAGTAGAGCTTCTTGTAATAGAGTTAGTGCTGCTGCAATTTGCCGCCAAGCAGTAATGTCAGCATTACTGTGTTCCGATTTTGAAGGGTAAGGGTGCTGGTGAAATTACAGGCAGATAGGACTTGTCAACTTATGGCTCAGGGTGACGGACGCAGTGGCAGTGCCCCTCAGATCGCAATTTAAAGCTCTGAGTGGCACTGCAACTGTTATTAACAGGCATGTCGCTTAACATCAGGCGCACGACTTGTACGTCTCGTCACTTGGTATTATAAAAAAAAATAAAAAACGTAGAGCTCCTTGTGAAAGATTTCGTCCAGAAAAGTGCTTTACCTATTTCTGCCGCCAAGTGATAATGTTAGTTGTACTAGGTACGTTCCGAGTTTGAAGGGTGAGGGTGTTGGTGAAATTACAGGCACATGGGAATTTGTCCCGTCACTGAATGCACTCCCGGACACGTAATTCGAGCCACCTTGCATTTTTACCCTTAAAGAGCTAGAATATAAAAACGTAGTTATTGTCGAAGGAAAAGTTTTCACCGGTTTTTTAAATCCAAATTTTCAATAAGGACTCAAGGAAATGACGTTTAGTATACCAGTTTCAAAGTTGCATAATAAATTCTTTATCAATCAAGCATTGCTTCAGCTAGCATTTAATATTGAAAATGCAAGGTGACTCGAATTACATGTCCGGGAGTATTATTATTGTAAAAAAATGACATTGCATTTGTCGTAAAACTGGCATGTGTAGTAAGTATGAGCTTCGTTGCGGACGCAGTCACGTAGTATAGTATTTCGTGGTAGGCTTCCAGAACTTTTGCGCTGCTTGCTATGCACCTATCACACTACCTCTTCAAACAAGTCCGCCCGTCTTCGAGCGGCTATGAGAGTGATATATATTGTGACGATGGTGACCTCCTTCATAGTTATCACACTTTTTTATCACCCTCTTTACTGGTACCTCGCCACTTGCTTTTTTAATTTTAAATCGTTCTCGAATTCCCTTTCTTTACTGTTCTTACGTTGGTTCGTTCCCTCACCACTTTCATCAAAATTCTCAAAACGAGAGATATCACCATTACGTAAATCTCAAACGTCACTTGGTTTACTGTTTTTTTTTTGTTGTATGTAGGCATTTTTGGGTGTTTTCATTT